TGGTGTTCCCTTCAGAAAGGAGAATTGGCAACATGACCTCTTAGCGATTTGAAATATTATTTTAATTTTTTTCATATTATGCACTATTTATGGCATTAAATTATAAAATGTATATAAAATTGCCATTCATATGAAATCATTAACTACTTCTATATATTCTAAGCACACTCCATATAGTAGTTTTATATGTTTACTTATTATCATTATTTCATAGTTTGTCGATTTAGCCCATTTTATCTAAATACGACGTTATGAAAATACAGACCAATCGTTAATCGTAGCATTTCAAAAGAGCATAAGTCAATTTTCAACAGCAAAGCCCTGCAAAAAGGACAAACGAGACAACATAGCCGATCGACATTGTCGTAAAATTGTCGATTGAAACAAATTTTGTCAACTCTGCCACGATGCTCAAAATTCGGCGTCAATATGTATGCGAGCTGATATGTATATTTGTATGTTTGTCGACAAAATCGCAATTTGGCTTTTTTCAACAACACAATGTCTGCGCGAACTCGCCGTTATTTCGTTGGCTTGCCACCATACACAGAGGCGTGTCAAGTGAGGGCTCATAATATATTAATATGTTGCTTAATGAGTATTGAAAAATATTGATGCATTTATGAATTATTTTCGTAATATAATATATATTATAGATATATATAAATGCACATATATTCATACCTATAATCGTTTTTAAACTAAATTCGATAAATAAAATATATATCTGAAATAATTATGTGGCAGTGCGCCCCAATCCCCTTGCCTGCGATCGTTCAACTCGCAAAAAGCAAAAAGTGTGTACAAAAGTCATTGCTTGTCCGGGGCAAGAAGAAGCAAGCATCAGCGTACGTGTATTTAAGAATGTATGTGTGATTATCACATTTGTGTAAATACGCATAATAAGGAAATATTCAATAAATCTAAATATATGAAAATATTTTCCTGATATATTTTAATTATATCAGGAAGTAAAATATGCTATTAAAGAAATTGAATTATGATATGCTTAGACTCCAATTAATAAAATAAAAAAATAAAATAAAATTTAATTTACATGGGATTTAGATTGGAACTTATATGCTCGTATTCGGATTGAGCTTAACTCCTTCACGCCTGCGACCTAAGCCACCACAAAAGTGGAAACACGACCGCTTAGCCACAATTTTATTATTATCATTTGTTTAATAAGTATATTGCCTACGCAACGCCCATACAAAAGTTGGAAAAATTGCATATCAAAGGTTATTTTATTATGAATTCTGGGGTTTTTGCCAGTAATCCTCCTTTTTAATTCAAAAGGCTTTTCATAATTATAAATTTATCATATCATAGAAATTGAAAACATAAATCTAAATAGGTATGCGCAACGATTTTTCATATAGGAATATTTGTTGTGTCTATTTATAGCATTTCGCATATTGTGTGGTGTATTTTTCTTTTTCGAAGTTATATTTTTCGATGTTCCCTCATGTGGAATTACAAATTAGTACTCAAAAAGATTTCATTTAACATTTGCTCCTTCTCTATTCATCAACATTCTCTGGTTTTAGTTGACGTTGATTGGTTTTGCCTAATTACACGACTGATTCTTTCGCACTTAATGTCAAATTAGCCTTTTAAATGTAACTGCTGAATCGCTGCTTGCTTCCACGTAATGCGAATGTCGGAGCGCTAGGGGTCCTGCAATTGTATGTTTATACTTTTTCTATTTGATTAACTTTACATGCGTTTATGCGTTCACATACACTTTAAGCACTCAGATTTATCCCACTACTGAACTGAAAGTTAAAAGGCTATGAATTTTTTACTTTCTTGATTGAGATATATTTATTTATATATATAAAAAGAACAAAAATAAGTGGTGCTTGTTAAAGAAACGTTTTTATCAGGATGTCGATGTTTTTTGATTGCTGAATGCTGACTGTTGGATGGTCATCGATTTGCCACAGGGTGGTCATTCATTTACACGGATCAGTGCTCGAGTATGAACAAAAATGTATTACTCATTGCAGTTCTCTGATATGTATGGTATACGTATAAATGACGACGAGCTGAGTCAATTTAGCCATGTCCGTGTGTTTGTATATACGCGAACTAACATAGTCCCTCAGATTTTAAGATATGCTCATCATGTTCATTTGTCAGATTAACTGATATCTAACCCTTATAGCATATAGCTGGCATACAAACTGAACAATCGGAATCAAGTGCTTGATGGAAAACTTTTTCATTTGACGAGATATTTTCATCAAATGTATTATGGGTTATTGCCTAAGACAACGCTGCAATCTCCGAAGAAATTGCTTAGATAGCATATGCTAGCTGCCATACAAACTGACCGATGATAGTTCTTGTAAGGAATCTTTTGTATTTGTGAAGGGTATTATAGCTTCGGTGCAACCGAAGTTAACTTTTTTTCTTGTTTTAAACTACACTCAAATATATCTATTGGCTTTTAGTACCACTCAAAAAAGTTACAATTATACAAACATATCGGTGAAGCTAATAATAAAACATTATATTAATATGCAAAGTAGTAAATTTACTGCTTTACCGGAATGTTCTATTTTTTTATTATAATTTTTTTTGTTTTGTGATTTCCTTTGATAGGACGCAAACGTTTACCTTAATCGAAAAATTATACAGACTATTTTAGTAGAGCAGCAAATTTTTTACAAAACTAGAGCTTTGCAATTTGAAATTATGTTTTTTCGTTGAGTTATAAAATTCAAAAGAACAAAACAAATTTGCCTTAAAATATTTTAATTTCAACCCGAGAAATTTTTTCAAGTAGGTTGAAACGAGATATGAATTTTTCTATTTGATTATAAGAAAACAAGGAAAGGTCATACTTGGAGGTAATTTCTGTCTAGCAACACATTTTTCAGAGTTCAAAGCGAAAAAAAACATTCGTTTTACATATGTATTTAGGTATATATATGTATGTATATCATATTTATAAATATGCTATCTCCATCGGAGATATGTGCACCGATTGTTTTGCAATCATGATTACTTTGTAAATCGTTAACTTGGTTAACTTCATTCACTTCCAAAAGCCACTGAGTGCTACCTACTCGGATATAGGGATCCAAATACCTTATTTCTGCATCTTCAGATCGGTACTCAAAATCGGAAATTCGAATCAGCCTCTTATGGTGTAAGAACCCACCGGGAAAAAGGATTCCGATCCCACCATCGAAGCCGCTGCGAAGAGGGAAAGTTCTTCAGTTAGTTCCTTCCTGACAGATTTTGTGAACCCTTTACAGACTTACAGGCTGTTCAGCTATTCTACGCTATACTGAACAAGTAGCGATTTAATAATGTAAGACGAGATCGCTTTGAGTCTCTCCTGACTGTCGTTGAATAAGGAATTGCCCCCATTGCGATAAGTTTTTCAGATCTTTTTGATAACCAAACGTGGCGTTGATTTTTTTTATGGTACTTATTGCGTTTCTTTTGTTACGAATGTCTAATCGCAACTTGAAAGTGGTTGTTTCGTTTGCCCTCCATTTGGCAAAATATCTTCAATGCTCATCGATGTAACTGCCAATGCGACTTTCCATTGAAAACGTATATTTCGTAGTATAAATATACGACATGTTTTAACATTTAACATTGCCGAATCTACTTAATCTTGACTTTAAATCGAGATATAAACTATCCTATCTTTTAAATTGGCAAACTGCACACAGTGTGCAAATTTTATTAAAATCTGTTCGGTAGTTTGGTTGGTTAGATAATTTAAAATTGATTAATATTACCCTGTTTTCGATGTATTAAAATGTTTTTTTTTTGTTTAAGAACAATTAGTATGAATAAATAATTTAAATAAAATTACAACTTACGCGTACTTCACATTTTTTCCAAACTAATGGCCACAGTTTTTGATTATATGTGGACTGTTTTACACATTCAAAAATTTTTTTGATGGATGTTAAGAGAGCAACAGATTATGTAAAAGCAACAGTTGCTTTGGAACAAAAATTTATAATAAGGCTGATATATGTTTTCCGTATCAAATGAACTATATGTATGTCGAGGATATTCAATTCCTATTCATGTTCTTTACCATTCCCAATTTTCATATAAAAATTTGCGTATTGTTATTTTCTATACTTACGTATGTACATATGCATACAAAACTTTGGTTGTGTTTTTCGTGAGTACTTGCCGAGTTCGAGGCCGGCTTAAAACCTCTGCAGTGCTATGGGTCCCGGCACCCGGTTGCAACACCACTTTGAACTGAATTTTTCAATTCTTGCTGCATTTATGTTGATACAACAGCCACCACGAATCTCTCCAAAGGGCCAAACCCAATGAGCAGATTGGAACGAAATCCAAGGGCTTTCTGCTCATCGTGGTTCCTGGTTAAAGTCTGCGATAAGACCTTGTAGCTACTGCCAGTTGAGCAACCATCAAAGTCAATGACGCTTGAACTTTAGATGTGTTTTCATTAGAAGGAATCTCATTCAAAGTCTATAATATGGTTCAAGTTGAGTATTATAGCACTACTTCTGGCGTAACTATGCTGATATTTCTTGGCAATGCTGAAAAACAGACATAGTACATATGAATTTTAGTCGCTTCTAAAGACAGGCATATTTTACCGCGGGCAAATTCTAACCCCTGCCCGCTGAGTGGATATGCATATGCTGTAGGTTCTACATGTTTCAGCATAGTAGCAAATTTGTAAGAAAAATGTTGAATTCCCTGCTCAGTGTTTTTCAGTTCTGTACAAAAGCCAATCGAATATTATACCAGGAATGTTAATGAATAATGAATTTGTTATATTCTCTGATTAAGCTCTATGCAAAAGATTACTTCAAACCCACATTTGTACATAAGTATGGTATGTAAATAATATAGCCTTGTTATTTACTTATTACTAGTTTTATATTTACTATAAATATTTTGTATTATAAATTTTCATATGCCTGTAAATAAAAAAACAGTTGAATAATAATTTTATTATTAACCTTCTAATGATTTCACAGACTTTACTAATCGGACTAAGGTATGAGGATTTATCATGGGACTTTGCCAAGCCTCGTGTGAATAATGATCCAGACTGTCAAACTTGTATATTTATTCAAGTGAGTAAGCCAATACTTTGCATAAGTAGGTACAATTGTTTTAAATCTTGCTTTTATCATTTAACATTTTAACAAGAGTTTGTGGTTTTATGAATATTCTATGGAAAGTGTGTTGTGAATTAAAATACAGAACGCATAATAAAAACAATCATTTAGATGATATACGCATTTTAAAAACTAAAAACAATACTTGTATTCCTATTTCTTAAAATCTATATGGAAATATACAGATAAAAAACATGCACTCGAAAATATATTCTCGAGAACGGAAAGTTGTTGCCGAAGTGGTAGCAAGTACAGCTATATAAAAACACAGAAAATCATCATCTTACATCATCTATTTTTTTATTTACTTTAATAATTAAGTAAATAAACACTATTAAAAGTTTTCTGTTATCATCAAGTTGACAAATAGCTTTACAATATTCTCCCAGATAATTGAATTCAAAAATTATGGATTAAAAAAATAAAAATTTAAATAAAACCCCGATGTTGAAATTAATCCCACTCGTTTGCATTAAAAATTAAATTTTGGACACCACAACCAGCTTTAATTCTTGCAAATTGCGGGAGTATATATTGTTTATTCGCCTCCATACAGTGATCCCTTACTTGTTAATTATTAAAGTGAAAATTCTTATCAATCTCGTACATATATAATTATGTGGGCAAATTAACTTTCTTCGTTTAGGAAGTGTTAAACGTATATACTTAGTTTTGTTTATAATTAGCGTGGAGGCTGCCGTTAACTGCCTAAGATGAATCGTCCCGATTCAATATCATTTTCCGATAGTTTATTTATTTTATCCGAAATAGCGTTATCTGATATTTTTTGATATTCTAAATTTCTATTTATTTTAGAAATTTTATAATATTTTTTAAATTTTACAATCCTATAAATTATGTACATTATTAACAAAATTACAAGTATGTACCATAAAAATAAATGAAGTCTCAAAACTTTCATTCGTTCAGATAAAGTATTTATGTTTTCAAGTTTCATTTCTTTATTTTTATACTCTCGCAACCTGTTGCTACAGAGTATAATAGTTTTGTTCACCTAACGGTTGTTTGTATCACCTAAAACTAATCGAGTTAGATATAGGGTTATATATATATTAATGATGAAGAGACGAATTGAAATCCGTGTGACTGTCTGTCCGTCAGTCCGTCTGTGGAAGCTGTAACTTGAGTAAAAATTGAGATTTCTTTATGAAACTTGGTAGACATGTTCCTTGGTACCGTGAGACGGTTGGTATTGCAGATGGGCGTAATCGGACCACTGCCACGCACACAAAACGCCATTAATCAAAAACAAATAAATTGCCATAACTAAGCTCCGCAATAAGATACAAGACTGTTATTTGGTACACAGGATCATATTAGTGAGGGGCATCTGCAGTTAAAATTTTTTTTTTTAGTGGGCGTGGTCACGCTTCTAATAGTTTAATGTGCATATCTCTTAAACCGCTTATGCCATAATAACCAAATTCACTGGAAGCAAATGCTTTTAGAACCTCTACCTACGGTGTGAAAATAGTCGAAATCGGGTTGCAACTCCGCCCACTCCCCATATAACGGTACTGTTAAAAACTACTAAAAGCGCGATAAATCAAGCCCTAAACACGCCAGAGACATTAAATTTTATCTCTGGGATGGTATGAGATGACTTTATAGGAACCACGTTCAAAATTAGACAATCACTTTTAGGTGAAAACCCATATCTTGAGATCTGATTAACCAATTTCAACAATCAATTTCATTTCGGTACATAACGTTATTTTCATATTTCTATGTTACAGTGCGAAAATGGGCGAAATCGGACCACAACCACGCCTATTTTCCATATAACACCATTATCAATTCCATCTGATTCTTTCACTTTCCACTATGCATATCAAGCAACAATGATTATATCTGGGCAAAACTTTGCGTGAATAATACGTTTAAAGTATGCCACCTTGTGACCAAAAATTGTCTAAATCGAACCAAAACTGTTCAAGCCCCTAAGTACTAAATATGTGGACCCCAGTGCCTATAGTTGACCTTCTACCGAAAATATCAGTCAATCCACAAAGAAATCTCAAACGAGTATACCATTTGACTTTGTGAGAGTATAAAATGTTCGGTTACATCCGAACTTAGCCCTTCCTTACTTGTTGTCTTTGATTTTTTACATTTACCTGGACAAAATATCTGATAGGCAAGTATTTGTATTATTAATTTTACAAAAGGTGTTTGTCATTTCTTTTTTACAATTTTTAATATTAATATATTCTTTTTTGCATTTTGCAATTTTTTTGCCAATTACTAATTTACCGTCTTCTTGTGTGATTGCTCTTACTTCTTAGTATTTGCAATCATTTATAATTTTTGGATACTTAATATATATAAGTATCATCTTTATTTTGTAATATCTTTAAGTTATAAATGTCCATTAAATCAGTTATAGTCAATCGTCCGTATTCATTTTGAATTATATATATTCAAGATTTAATTATATCTTTATGAACTATTCTATTTCTGTAGTTAATTGTATCCTTATTCCCTAAATCTTTTTTTTTTTACTTGTTTCTTGTATCTAGGCTTTAGCTTATTTCTCTCCCTTATTATTTTTTCATATATAACATCTCCACATAAATATGTTTTGTTAAAGCATGTTTATTTTGCCTTTCTAGCATCCTAGTTTGTGCTAATAAAAGTGTGTATGGTAAATTATCATGAGAGACCTTATTATAAAGATTTCGAATGGTTTCTTATCAGTTATAGAATGTATAGTTTGATTGTATTGGTGAGCGGCTCTATATATTAATTCCGAAAAGCTGATTAAATTATATTCTTTTTTATACATCGTGATATTTCAATTATTGTTGAATTTACCCTCTCAATCTGACCATTTGTGGGGCTATGATTTGGGTTGCAGAAATAAATTTCAATCTGACGTCTCTGCATTAGGGATTTAAATTGTACCATAGTAAATCCTGGTTCATTATCAATTGTTATTCTCTTTACATTAGGGAACCCTTTTAATATCTCTAACACTTTATCTTCTAAATTAAGCTTGTCTTTAATTTGCTTAATAACCAAAAACTTTGAATAACTATCGATACATGTTATGAATTTTAATGATTGTGCATAAAATATATCTATGTGTATTTGTATTCCCTCCTCTTTAGGTATAGGGACCTCTCCAATTGATATTTTTATGGGATGTCTATCATATTTATTTTTATTATAAATTTCACAATTTCTAATGTATTCTTTAAATTGCTTATGAATTTCTGGCCAATAGTAAAAAGTTGAGATTTGTTTAATAATTTCGTCAAAGCCCCTGTGCGCTTTGTTATGCGTTTGCTCAATTATTTTTCCTTGGTCTTCCTTGTTTGGTTTATCCGTGGGAAAATTTTTTGTAAATAAAAACTTGTTAGTAAATGTTTCTTTTAATTTAACCTTTATATCAAATAAGTCTTCAGGTGTACAATATATTGCAGTTACAAGATTTGGTTGTAAGAATTCTTTTAGAATAGTCATTAAATTTTGAAGTGTATCATATTCAATAATATGCCTTGTTTTATTAAAATTATTAATAGATTCGTGAATAGTAAAGCGACCTTTACTAAGAAGTATTTGTTGCTTAAATTGATTCAATGGTGTTTTAGTTTCTTAAATTTGTGTATTATCAGAGCTCTCTACTGAATATTGTATGATATTTTCATATTCGATTTTTAAGTATGTTGATTACTTGATTCAAATGTTTTATACGATTAAGTTGCGTGAAAAAACAATTATACAAGTATCATCAATATATACGTGACAGAATTTTTCAATAAATGCTCTTAATAGATTATCCATAGCTCGTTGGAAAATACTTGGTGCATTCTTTAAGCCAAATGGCAGTCTTAATATTTGGTGAAATCCTGATTCTAAATCGACTGTGATCCTCCTAAATTTGAAAGTATAACATTTGTATCTGGTATTGGATATTTATCCGAAATAGTAATTTCATTTTGTTTTTTTTTAAATCCACTACCATTCTTAATTTTGCTGTGCCATTATCATTGATACTCTTTTTTGGTACCACCCAGATTGAAGAATTATAAGGACTTCTACTTGGTCGTAGAACTTCGTTTTTTAAAAGATTAGCGATTTCTTTATTCACAAAAGCATTTGATGCTAAAGGATACTGATAATGTTTACTCCAAATTGGAGTATTTACCGATATTCTTATTTCCGCACGAATATCCGTTCGAAACAGTAAATTTATGTTTTTATGAAGAATGTATTTCATTTACTTTATTTCTTATTTTTTTCCTCCAATATTCAATTCAGAGAATTCTTCCTTCAAAGTAATTTTGTTTAGATAATTTTCTTTATTGTCGGTAAGTACTTCGACTGGCGTTGTAGAACTTTTTTGTTCCACAGTAAATTTTATTCTTTTGTTGCCGGTATTACCATCGGCTGGTGTTGTAGAACTTTTTTGTTCCACAGTAAATTTTATTTTTTTGTTGCCGGTATTACCACAGGCTGGCGTTGTAGAACTTTTTTGTTCCACAATATATTTTTTATAATTGAATTTTTTATTTTTGTTGCCGGTATTACCATCGGCTGGCATTGTAGAACTTACTTGTTCCACATTATATTTTTTATTTTTAATATATTCATTGTGCTGGTATAAATCTTCAGCTGGTGCTTTAGAAGTCTCTGCTCCCAAAGTAATTATATTTCCTTTAATGTTTTCATCTTTTAAATTTCCTTTAATCTCATGTTGCTCAGATTCATCTCCTAAGCTAAATATGTCTTCTTCCTTTTTATTATTTATTATCAACTTTTTTTCTTTCAAGTTGATCACTGCATTAATTTCTTTCAGGAATTTGTATCCAATTAAAAAGTCTGCTTCTAAATTTTCGATTTCGTAAAAAATTTGTCTTTTACCAAATAGAGTAATAAAATGATAATAACGTATTATCGAAAATCCATTAATTGTTTTTACTCCTTTATAT